ATGGGGGAATCAGCTCCTTCAAATGTGACTTTGCAACTTCATAAATATGCTTCTTTTTCTGTTGCAAGATACTGTGACTAACATCACAAGATTAAAGACCTTTAGGTACGCTTTGATTTACAGTGGAGTCTGAAGTGATCACCAGCATCAACCATGGAATTACAAAGACAAGGGGCTGGCATTATGTGTGAGTCCTTCTCCTGTCTCAGACTGGGGGTTATTAAAGATGCTTTACTTTGAGAGGTAATCCCTAGATGTTCTGACTCCGGCCTTTGTAATTTTTTCCTCATATGGAATAGACAGTCAAAAATCTAATTATTTTTTTCCATGGCTTCACTGTGTATAAAGCAGTTGTCTGCTTAGATGTAATTCTCAGTATCACTTTTCTGTATTTAAACCTCTAATACCAATTCTAAGAGGGAAGGTAAGATCTTAAACTGTCTAAAAGTAGAGAATCTTACTGAAAATCAAGTCCATAAGATGGAAGTATAGCCTAGTTGAGGCACATTAAGTTGCTGGGAGAGTAGCACTGCACCAAATCCCCCAGTTCCCTTGGAGGTCTTGCACTGGTCTAAATAGCAGATTGGGTGCAGCTGCTGCACCATTGGTTCTACCACAGTAAAAAACAGAGCTCATATAAACCAGAAGGAAGTGAGGTAGTACTCACTATGTATAACAGTTGTATCAGAAATGAAGGGTGCATTTTCTACTATCCCATTGACATGGGACAGAAGCCTATGCTTCACAGATCCTGCCTTAACACTAAGTCTTCTTTGTCTCTGACTTGAAAAAGACTTTCCACACCTTGCTGCTCATTCTAGACCTTGAAGATAACAATGAAGATGTCTAAGGGCATGATGGAGGTTGATTAGTTAGTGTGCCAAGAGGGAAAAAAGAAAAATCACTATAGTGTCAGCTGCTTTTACAGTGACATTGACAAAAGAAAAGGAGCCAGGGCAGCCTCACATATCAATGCTGTAGAAATTACACCAAATCTATGTACTAAAAATAGTCCAAAACTTCAGTGCAGAACTTCAGAAGCACTGAAAACAAGATTTGATATGTGGGTAAGCAATAGCTTTATTTTCATGCAAACTACATCAGTATGAATAGACACTTGAATAGGCTTGTATTTTACAGATTAAGCATATCTCAATAAACCAGGATGAAGAAAAAGATTTTGTGTTGGAGAAAATCCAGGTCATGGCCACAGACCTGGTCATGATGTAGATAAAAAGTTTCTGGCTTCTTCCCTGCAATTCTTGGGTGTCTGCAAGCTACTTCTCAGTGGTCATTGGCATGTGAAAGTTTGTTGATCTCTGCACCAAATTGAGTATAAATTCCTACCAAATAGGCTACAGATCAGAACAGAGGTCGTAACTCCTAAGCTAGACTTCTTGAAAATGTCCCATGAGATCACATCTCACACGAGTGGCTCTAGTATCTCTGTACAGAGCTCCAAACCTGCAAAATCCCTGTGTATCAATTCCATTAGGCTCACAGGGCCACGTAGCCACACATCGGGTACTTCAGGCCTCCAGGACTACTTCTCGGGGCAGACTGACTGACATAGCTGACTAAGCTATGCTTCACAGACTGCTTTGTCAAAATCAAGCATTACGGATTTGCTCAGAGTACATAGCAGGCAGAACAAAAAATAAAAATAAGACAAGTTTGTACTCGTATTTCCTCTTATTTACACAAAATTCTCTTCTTGGAAACTTTAATTTAAAGTCCATTCAATTCTATAAACCCCATCTCTGGTGAGTGAGAAGAAATTTGCCCTGCTGCCAACTAACTGCATCAGTCAGTTGATGGCTTCTTTTCCTCTCTCAGTTAGCACAGATGTACTGCTGGATCCCAACTTCACCAACCTTTGGAAGAGAGCTCAGGTCCTGCTAGTTGCATAGCAAGGGCCCACACATTTCACTGCAGGTCCAACACACATGTACATATCCAGCAGTAACACCTACATGGCTCTCGCAGAGTGCACAGATCTATGGATTTTTGTGGCTGTATCATTCCTAACACCTGAGCTACTTTAAAGGTAGTTACTGGTTACACAAGTTGTGAAGCAGTAGCGTCACGGCTGTTCTCACACACACAAGCCCCAAACGTTGCTGAAAACAGACTCCTGTCTCAGCTCCGTACTGTTAGGCCAGTGCTTTCATTTAAGGGTCATGACTGAGATATAAAAGTCTTGAAATACTCATTGGAGTAAAACAGCTTTATGCCTTGGTGTCTACCAATAAAGAGTTTTATCTCTGTCCTTATTTGCCTTATCTCTCCCCGGTAGCCCTTTGACTTAAACTCGTTACAGTTTGATTGAACAAACATAAATGTGGTACTTGGTATAAAATACACATATTCCTTCTTTCTCCACAGTATGTAAGACTATATTTGCTTAAATTATATTCAAGAAATAATTACTCTAAAAAGAGTTCTTAGAGATTGCATAGGATTTCCTACAAAAATGGATACAATAAAGAAAAGCCTATACCAGTGATGCAGAGATGCTTGAGCACAGCTGCATTAGCACACGACCCTCCCTTTCTAGTATCATTAATATTTAACACCATTCCACAGTGAATACATATTCTTGTGAGGCGTAGCTGTGTGCCAGAGGTTTCTTTGTGAACTGGAATAGTACTCTTTTCATTCAAACTCTGCTCTGGTTTCTCCAGGCAAAGGAAAAGTGAACTGTCATGAAACTGAATCACCAGTGTGTCTTCAGAAAACAATTCAATTTCGAGAGTGTGAAGAAAAAAGTCTCTGCTGTGGTGGGGGAACTTGTGTGAATTTCCTGTCTTTGCTACAATTTAGCAATATCCACAGACAGGGACTTAAAGTGACTGTCCAGCATTATTATATTCTCCTTAATAGATTTAATATACCAGTGGTTTACAAAAATATCTCCTTGGAATGCTTCCAAACATACCAGAGATGCTGGCCTGCTAAGTCTCCAAAATAGTCCTCAGTTAGCAACTTCCAAACCTCACAGAAGAATCAAATTGCCTCACTTGAACACTGTGCTGCATTCTCTTGACCAGAGTCATCATCTCCCTCTTTAGGTGCAATTCTAAGGAAAAGTCTTTTTCTTGTAAAATAAAATAAAATTTATAGAGTCTTCAATCAAACAGAAGAGAAACCCCCAGACAGAAGAAGAAATGCTGTTACTGCTGCTTCATCAATATTAACAACAGGTTGCTTTAGGCAGCACTGGTGCAACAACAGGAATATTTCTTGTATGCCACACTGTCGTTAACTTTGGGAAATAACCTGAAATGAGAGTTTGCTTTGATCTAGTTGCCATGGCACTGATAGATAGGTAGCTAAAGCCAGTACCTCATGGCTTCTGGAGAACACAGTTGTGTTTCTGTCCCCTTCTGCCCACTCCATTTCAAAGGTTATCACCCCCAAAACAAGCTGTGCTCGTATTTCAGCAGTGACAGATCGCAGTGCAGGTTCTTTCTGTGAACTTGTCAGGGAGCAGTGTTCGGGGGCTCTCGTTGCCCTCCTGTGGACTGTGATAGCATGCAGAGCCACCCCTCCTTCCCCTGCTTCTCCTACAAATAGCTGCAACCTTTAACTGATGGACAGGACAAGCAGAAGGGAAATAAATAGCTCTAAGTGCCATGGCTAGAGTCAGAGGCTCAGCTGGGATGAGTCAGCACAGCCCCAGCTGTACCAGCTACGGGGCTGGCTTGTTTCTCCATTTACAGGCTGAAAGCCAAAGCACAAAGGAAAACTTCCCAACTGCTTCTAATTACTACAGTATGAGCGAAATAGCTAAATCCAAAGCTTTGTCTGAAATCAGGCAGCATGAGCCTTCCCTTCACCACTCCATGAAATCTCTAAGAAGCCCACCAGCACTCGGACCTTTTTCAAGGCTCTTCTGTGTTCAGGAGCATGGCCTTTTCCCTCCTGGCAGTACATCAGCTCTTGTTACCACTATAGTATTTCAATGCTGCTACACAATGCTTGCAAAAATCCACTTGAACTCTAAGTATTCTACTAAATTTTACACAATCTCTTAAATCTTTCTTTCCCTGATCAATCATGCAGATAGGTTTTTGTTTACATTGACTTCTAGGAACAGGTTTTCATTGTACAAATACATTCAAAGACATTTACAGGTAAAGAGAGTGGTGGTTATGCATTGGTTCTTAGCACCAATGTTTCATTCATCCAATTAGGAAACAAAAACAATGCGGTGTGACCTACACAGCAAATAAACAGACTGAGTAAATGCTGGAAATGCAGGGTTTGAAATACATGCAAGACAGAGATTTATTTGCATAAGATATTGTAAGAACAATGCAAAAACCTATCTTAATAGAAATCAGTTTTGGCACAAAAAGACAAAGATAGGCTAAAATCGTTACATAGCTTATTCACAACAAAGATTACAGACAGCTATTTGTTAGTATTAAGTAACTTAATCTCTGCTTAATGCTAAGAAAGAGCATCTTCTCGATTACTTGGGAAAACATGGATGAATCCTTTTCTCCTGAAGTTTTCTTTCAATCTTACCTTACGGTATAGGAAACTTCCTCACTTGTTTTCAAAGCATTTGAAATAGCATAAGAAGAGTCTTGTGGAGCTTGAAAAGCTAATTTACTACATACAGATCATAAAAAAATTTCTCATGTCATTTGTAAGACACCTTCTTTCACAAACTCTTATTAATGATAAAAATATTATGCCAGAGAAGATGTACTTTAGTGTCTCTTAGTGATTATAAGCAATCACATACACTACATACTGTTCCAATGCATTCCGAAGAAAATATTTTTCCCAATAAGGAGATTCACTAATTTAGTTTCAAACATTTAACTTGCTTTTGTATTTAATTAAAATAAAATTCATTGTGTGCATATTTGTATGCTGCAACTCCTACAATATTTGAAAAAATGTAAACCAAAAACAAAATAAAGAGACATTCCAGGATTTTTCTTTCTTTATCAGAGCGCTAAAGAAGTCTCTGTAATTCTCAGTCTCTAAGCAAGAGCACAGTCAAACAGGCCTTTCTCCAGTCCATCAAGTCCACCAGCCCAGGTTGAGGTTGGCACACTCTGGTAGGGGTTGAGCAGAATTCAGAAGCAGAGAACAACGAGGATTCCCAAAAAAATAAACAATAAAATCACAATGGCAAAGGTTGTTTTTTGTTCCAAGGTCATGCTAGAATTTGGTGTCAAGTTCCCAGATGGCAGCAAAGTGCCAGTGAATATCTCTCTATCCATCATTGAATAACCCCAGAGCCTCTTTCTTTTCATCATCAGTTTGCTGAAGTCAGAGTAAAAGTCATTTAGATGCTCTTTGCTATCTGTAGGGCAAGGGGGAAAGTTAACTGTGAATATCCCTTTTGTTTGTTTATTTCAATACAACTTTCTCCTAATGGAGAAAAATGAGGTGGAAAAGAACTTGACAGCAGGTCTGCTTGCCTCTGCATCATATATGAGAGACCTGTTAGAAATCCTGTACCATTCTGTTGGCAGTGCAGAATCCAGCCACTGTTATCAAATGCTACTAAACCCTGAGCTGACAGTAACTTCTCCCTACCTACCACATCAACTGGAGTCGTATAGAACGTTTCTTTCCTGCAAGGGGGAAAATGAGGGGTTTAATCACACTGCTCCAGTTTTTTGCATGCCTTGCTGCAGGACAGATGAACTTCAGTTGATGCTACTCTAAGTTGGGGGAAAGGTGTTTGAAATACAAGTGTAGTTATGGTTTCATATAAAATGACCAAAAATGTTTTGAGGTGGGATGGACCAGGATCTGCTGCAGGCCAATAAAATGAGCACGTCCCCGTGATGGAAGGCAGCAACCATTCAATGCCTGTAACACTCCAGCATTTATGAAGGAAAGGCATAAATAATTTGTGTTTGAAATGAGAGAAGATTTAGGAATGCAGCCTGAAGTAACTCAAGCAGTAATTTAACTCAAGGGCAAAAGTTTCCACTTCTTACTTAATATCAGAATCAGACTTACAAACACAGTTAGCAAGAAAATGGTTTTTTATGTCACCAGCTCTGCCACATCAAGAGAAAGGCCAGGATTTGGGACTGAGCTTGGCTGTTTCTAGACAGCAGAGCATATGGTGTGCTACTGCCTGGCACGTCTGCATCCTTGTCTGTCTGTCTGGGTGTCTGCCTACCATTACTTCCTCTTCCCTTGCTTTCTGGATTTTCCTTCCAGCAACAGGGATTCACTGTTGGATGCCACAGCTTAGGCCTGGTCAACAGCACCACTGAAATTACATGTAAATCATGCTCAGGAAAAGAAAGGCTTCAATACTGGTTGAAGAACAACGCTGCCTCCACTGAACATGTTGTGTTAATGGTAAGAGGAAGGAAAAGAAATAGAATGACACAATGCAGCATATAGCATGTGCAGATTAAACTTTCATATGATTATAACCACTCCATCACTGGACTGGTGTCAATAATTATTTATAAGCATGCCTCAGTAACAACAGTTAATAGGTATAAGTGAATAAAGAAAGCACAATCAAACTGGGATATTGCCAGGAATATTCTAAAAACTGTAACTTAAACAAAATAGAGAAAGTATTAAAGCAACAAAAATATTGGAACTGCATGGTTATTATTGCCTGATTTAATTTATGATGGAAAGGATAGAAAGACCAAAAATGTTAACTTCCAGTCTTTTGAAAGAACGTCTCAGCTACCAGCTGATAAGAAATGTAGAGGACTGTCTAATAGCTAAAACTTTAGGAATAACTAGTTTAATAAAGCTGACACACTTTTAGACGGGGTGGTACCTGGTGAAGGAAATAATGAATTCTGGTGATAAATAATCTTGTTGTAAAAAAGAATAAATATATAAAGTGAGACAGAGTATATCACTGTGGCAGCAATGCTCCAGTGAAGGCCAAAGGTAGTGGTGCCCCTTTCTAAAAGACCTCTGGTATTCCAATTTCAGAAAGTTCTGCAGCACATGGTTTTTAATATTATTTAAGTACATGCCCTCTGTTCTACATGTATTATACACAATTTACAGTCTTTCCTAAAACCGCAATCACCCAATACAGTAGCTGTGCTTGATCTCACAGATCAGAATGTTTTAGAAGGGTTTTCCTGACATTTTTTCTACGTGTTATATGAATACAGTTAGCAACTGTGGGAGAAAATGCAGAAGCTGGAAAATCTGTCAGGGAAGATCAATTTTTGATATGCTGGTTTTCAATGTGAAACTTAGAATAGACATTCTGTACATAGTATCTTTCCAGTTTTTCAGAAATTTGATTTTAAAAAGATATATGTAATTAGTGACTCACTGAGAAGCAAATGCAGTTCATTATTTTCCTTTTGGAATCAGAGTAGGATAATACAGAGAAGAGTTAAACACTCATTTTCATACCAGTGAGCACTATTGACTGATTTTAGGAACAGATGTGATGTCTGATTATTTTACAATTAGCAGATTTTCACAATCAGAATCCTAATTTTTATGCTATAGAACATACACGGTAAAACACTAACACTACATTGAAAACCTGAAAGGAACATATTTCTGAGGCTTTGGGCTTCCAGGCAGCTTTCTAAGTGTGCTTGCTACACTGAATGATTGCAAGATTTTTGGGGCAGGTATTTTGGCTCGACAGAAAGGCACAATACCTGGCATACCACATCCTTTGCCATCTTTGGACAACTTCTTTTGCAAGCTAAAACTTAAATGAAATCATTAGCCATTTCCTTTGTGACAAAATGATGTTTAACTATCCCCACTGATAAAAGCACATGGGTACTTGAATGGAGAAGGTGACTAGCCAAAGACATTAATTCGGTGTATCTATAGACACAAGTAATTATGCTTGGAAGCACCTTGGCCCCAGCAATGTGGGCTTCCACACTCCTGGCCTCCTATCATTCACCTGAAGCAACTGGTGTAAGTGAGTCCTGGAACCCATCTTCCTTCCTGCCTGTCACTTTCTGTTGTGTCAGCAGAGCTGTGCTGGCACCAGCCGCCAGAGGCCCTTTCCAACTGGAAACATTCCCTATCTAGGAGACTATATAGACAGTACATGGCAACATACCCTTAAACTGTATTTCCTTGCATGAGAACCTCTGCACTCCTTGCAAGGGTTCCTCCAGCCTGCCTGAATTCCATCCTGCCTTGGTGGTACTGATGAAGAGGGGACAGGAGCCTGGAAGAGGGTGCTGAGGAGCTGCAAAGAGAGGCAAAAGGGCCCTTCCCCATGTCATGAGTGAGATTTCTGCTCAAGGATCCACCTCTAATGAAGATCCCAAGAAACAAGAGATAAAAGCATGAGCGTGATGCACACTGTAGATATCCCCATTTTGGCATAAATGTGTCCATGCAGCCAAAACAAATTAATAAAAAATACAGAGAATAACAAGGGAAGTGGTAGAAACCAAATAGTAATAATCACAACACAATCTGAATGCATTTCTTTTCAGCTTGTTGCAATCACTAAGAGCTAAGCCAGTTTATAGCATGGGTGGAAAAGCCTCAAGGTTGTTTAAAAACATGTTGATGTAACCAAGGTTCCTCTAGGTGGAGACCTGCTTCTTTTTTTTTTCCACATCCCAGATAAAAACATAACTGATAGAAAAAACAGGTTACCCTTCTCTTAAATGATGAGCCCTGATTTTTTTTTCTAATGCAGAGGTGCCCCCTCCTTCAATTACTTTCTGTAATAGATTCCTTGCAGATGTGTCTAATCTTTTGTTCAATGAGCACACAGTTGCACATCACTCTGTCCACATCAGGTGGTTGTTATAATTTCTCCTTGCCAGCGTGCACACATCAATTAGGTAGTTCAATTATAGCTCTCCCTGAGGTGGTGCTTACAGTCTAAGATACTAAATTTATAAAGAAATAAAGAAACAGAGGAAAACTTGCATATCATTAGCAGCATTAAATTGATGGGTTAGTCCTTAGCACATCTAGCTAAGCTTTAACAGCTCTCATATAGTTTCAGGTGCTCACCTACAGCCCAGTAGCCGAACTATGAGCATAGGGCCTGGTCAAATGCCACCGAAAGGTAACTTTTCTGGTCAAGCCACTAGGATTTTTGATGTTAAAATGTCATTTTATTAAGTAATTGATAGAGCTATCTACAATTGAGAACAATAGGACTAACAAAAGAATGGCTTTAAGATCTGCACCTCTAGGAACAATATATTTACAATTAAATTTGGCTTTGTTCTGTTGTTAAACTGTCCCCTCTTTATTATCATGTACAACATAAATTGCACTTCGTATCAACACCCATATGTTCATGTTCTTATCATGAAAGACTTGCATGTTGGTGAGTAGTCACAACCAAAAAGATTGTAGGAAATCACATCCCAGTTTGCTGAGCAGAATCTTACTTCTACACATTTTTCCCATTTCTGTATCATACCTGTTCATAAACTTGCATATCACCCCATCCATGTAGCTGCAATACAGCATAAATACTCTGAGACACACAGAAGGTCTGGAGCTAATATTCAGTTGCCATAAATTGTTCCAGTATAGCCAGAGGTACACACAGATTGGCATCGCTGGTGCTTCATCTTTCAAAATACCAAGGAACTGGTACCTCAAGAAACTATTGAAGACATCCAGACTGAACTGTGACACAGACAATCTATGTGTGCATGGATTTAAAGCAACTATTTTAATTAAAAACATTAACAATGAAACACCATAGAGTGGCAGCGTCTGCTTATCTCTTTTGACAGATCATTCACTGCACAATGTTTTGTGTAAATCACATAACATACAGAGAAATCTCTGAAACAAGCAAGTTTCAGGTCACAAGGAATCTGATCTGCAGAAAACCATTTGAGTCACAGAGGCTTGCAGCCTTCCTAACCAGATGCAAGGCCACATTTCCTGCTGCTGTAGTTACCTATACAGTTCTGCTGACTTAATTACTGTCTTGCCCACTTACACTTTTGGTCCTGTAAAATTTGATTGATAAAATTACAGTTAAGCAATAAACACGTCAAGACATTAAACATCAAGACATTTAAACACAATAAACAGAATATTTTCCTCTCTCTTTTTAGTCAGCAGGCAGGGACTTTCTTTTGCCCTTCATGCTTACTCAAGATTTACTAGCCTAATCTGTAAGGTCCTGTGACTTCACTGGGTGCTTCAAAACATATGCCTGATATGCAGGTATTCTATATTAGTAGAGCAATTGGTTTTCCATTATGAAATATCTCATGGAATCTAGCAAGCATACAGCTGTGCCAAGGCCATGTGCATGATTTTCCTATACCATCCATACTAGTTT